GACGAGGACCTGGAAGTGTCTCCTATACTTGGTGTGGAAGACTTAAAGTGCCTTTATGGCTTAGGGGTCACAGGAACAGACAGATTCTCTTGGCAGACAGAGCTTCCTCCTACTCATCAGATGAGCTCACTATGGTTAGGCTAGCCACCTTGACTTTCTTGTTTTTATTAAAGGACTGGTTGTGAGAAGCCACCTAGTGCTCTGAATGGAACTCAAGCATCCATCAGCTCTACTGTGAGAGGCAGAGGCTCCCTATTTCAACTGCATTGTTGCCCAAGAGCCATCCTCCTTAATCTGTATTTCATCACAGCCTGTACTATACTTCAGGATTCCCCAAAACACTACCACCAATAAGATGATCCTATGGAGGCTTCTTATCATAGACAGGATGGAGCCAGGTTGGTTTTTTCTCATTCATTTCAGTATTAAGAGTTGTGTCAAAACAGGGGCCGGGGAAATGGCTCAGTAGAATAAATGCTTCCCTGGCAAGCACAAGGGTCTGAGTTCAATCCCCCGTTCCAAAAAAAGAGTTGTGTCAAAACACTGCAGCTGTGAATAAGCACTTGCCTGGCAATTGCAGGGTCCTGAGTTCAGTCCCTGATACCACAAAGAAACAAAACACTGCAGTTCGGATCATGTAAGGGCTCACTAGGGAACCGTCGGCCACACTGTACCAAGTGGACATAGTAGAGAAACTCTTTGGCTGCTTGTAGCTATTTTACTGTCTGGATCTGCAGTCAACTTCTCTTTAATTAAAGCTCTGGAGTGATCTGGATTTTTTATCCTCTTTGTCATAACCTCTGAAGAACTGTTGAGGACAACTGCTTTGCAAGAAATGCTGCCATGGGATAGGTTCTTCCAATTTCCACAGTCCAAGAAACAACAATGGAGTTTGGTACTGCGGTGGCTAATCAGACGCATGAGGTAAGGTTAGCTGGTGTGTGGTGTTACTTTGGTTCCACAGCACTTTTATTATGTGGAAGGTCACCCAGAAGGTTGCAAGGTTCAGGCTGGCCTTGAGCTCACTTTGTAGCCCAGGCTGGTCTCGAACTCGCAAAGATCCTCCTGCCTCAACTTCCCGAGTGCTGGGATTACAGACCTGCATGTGAAGTCCTATTTGGTCCCAGAAGACCCATGGAGCTACTGATCTGCTGCACTTGTTGTGGAGTCACAGTAAATGTAAAACAGGTTTCTTGAAAGTGCTGGCTGTTGGCTGATGCTAGACTGGTAGTTTTATCAGTTTGTCCAACAGGTCCTAAAATAACAGTTTTCAGGGTTTTATATTCAGATGAACTGAAGAGCTGATGTAAAAATATGGGCAGTCCCAGAAGAGAAATAGGGAGTAACGTGATGACACAGGGTGACCGACATAACCAAGCCGTGGAGGGTAGACAGAGACCAAGTGGCTGGTTTAGGTCCTGAATGTGCACCAGAGGTACACAGGCTGCAGGTGTGATGATTTTGTGGGGAAACCACCACAGATCAGGTGCTTTAATTTTTACTTGTACAGTGGGACACCAGACAGCCTTGAGGGAATGAGGGGCCTTTGTGAGTTCATGTTTGCATCCGTGCCTAATTCTCCCCATGCTGCCCAACAATACTTGGATTTCAGAAACTCTAAGGCTTATAATCACTTGCTTTAGCTCCATGCTGTCCACTGTCTTGCATCTCCCAGCACCATTTGTTAAAGAGGCTGTCTTCCCTCCTGCATAGGGTTAGACCCCTTGGGCAAAGATCAGGTAGTGTGACATGCTTGGAGTTGCTTCAGTGTCTTCTATTGTTTCACTGATCCACATCTGTCCCCTTCCCCAATACCATGCTATTCGTATCACTATAGCTTTGTAGTATAGTCTGGAACTAAGCTATACTAATTCCACATTAGTAGATTAGTGATTTCTCCTGCTTTGCTTTTAATATCCAAGAATGCTTTTGCTACTCTTGGTCTCTCCTAGTTCCATATGAGTTTTTTGTTTTGTCTAGTTCAGCGAGGAATGCTATTAGTATTTTGATTGGGATTGTGTTAAATCTGTATATTAGTTTTGTTTTGGTTCTCTAATATTTTTTTCTTTTTTGCAGTACCTGGGATTGAACTCAGGACCTTGTGCTTGCCAGGCAAGTGCTTATCCTACTGAGCTATCTCCCCAGCCCTGCATATTAGTTTTGAAAGTAGTCATTTGGATGAAATTTCTCCACCTACCAAAGAACAGGGCATATTTTTATGTTTTCTTATGTGCTCTTCCATCTCCCTTCTTAGAGTACTGTAGTTTTCAGCATAGAGTTCTTTCACTTTCTTGGCATTACAGCCTTTATCTAGAGGGTCCCCCAAAGCCTCATGCACTCACAGGTGGGGCTTTTTGAAGCCAACTGGATCTAGGGTATGAAGTTGGGATTAAGGACACCTCACCCTGGGTGTGGGTAGCATTGCCCAGAGGGCAGGTGGCCTGATGAATTTGTACCTGTACATGATTTATCTTCTTTCTCCCATCCCCCTCCCCTCACACCCCTCTTCCATGGCATCACACCCCCTAGGCCCAGCCCCCTTCCAAAGGCTCCACCTATAATGACATGAAGTTTGGGAGGACAACTAGACACAAGCCATAGTGGTGTTTTTATGTATTCTTGGTTCAGCTTTAGTAGTTCATGTGTATCTAGGAATCTAGCCAGTTCTTCTGTTTAGAATTTGATTTTGTAGGGGCCAGGGAGATAGCTCAGTAGAATAAGTGCTTGCATGGCAAGTGCAAGGGCCTGAGTTCAATCCCCGGTTCCACCCAAAAAAAAGAAAGAAAAAAAAAATGGTTTTGTTTGAATACATTTTCCATGTTCTCTTGTATCTTTTGAGTAACTGGCCTTTGAAAGCTTCCATCTTCTAATTCTATCCCTCCTCACATTGGTCATTTCTTTCAATGTAATTTTTAATGCCCTGTATTTCTGGTTTTGAAGCTTTTCATGGACTCTAGTTCTTTGCTAATGGATATATATTTTGTTTTGGTACCAGGAATTGAACTCAGGGCCTTATGCTTGCCAGGCAGGCAGTGCTGCTGAGCTACATCCTCGGCCTTCATACATGTTTTGTATCATTTTGTTTAGCTTAGCGAGCTTTTGTTAGGTCTTCTGTAAACCCCATTTTATTACCTTCATGTTATCTGATTAGTTATGTGCACCTCACTGACCTGTTTTATAATCTTCTGTTCTTTTGAATAACTGAGCAGTGTGGCCTTTGTGTTCTGCTTTCTCATGCATGGTGGCACAAATCATGTCCTGTCCACTCGCTTCTCTGTCACCATGAGAGTCAGCACTGAACACGTGGCTGGGTGCCTGCCGAGCCTTACTGACCACACAAACTTCCACCCTCCCCCCGTTCCACACCAGGCTCTGCCCCTGCCACACCTGACCAGGAGCCCCCGTGTCCTTTCTTCTTGCCACTTAGGTCTTGGTTCCCGTGTTCCTTCCAGAACAGGTCTGCTCTTGTGCCCCTAGCAGCCCCGGTGCCCTAGCAGCATCAGCCAGTCTTGGGGCTCTTATCACCATCCCCCTTGTGGCAAAACACTACCAGGATTGCACCTTTACCCGTGGTCTCCACTGCACAATCCCCAAAGCTTGGACCAGTGTCTGGGACAGTGCTGGGGCTCAGTTGGAATGGTGAATGGAATTGTGGGACACAACTGGGCACCCTGACAAGGGCTGACGGAGGCCTCCTCTCAGGGACTCACTGTTCTGCAGTGTTCCTGGTGCCACCCAAGCACCTCTGGCCTTTGTCGTGGAGTACACAAGACAGACATAGTGTCACTAAACAATATAGCTTCTTTTTTTCTTTCCACTCCCTCGTTCATTCACTCTTTCATTTTTTCAGTGACCCAGGGGCACTTTACCACCACCAAGCTACATATCCAGCCCTTTTTTTGAGTCAGAGCCCAAGTCGCTCACGTGGTACTTAAACTTGTGATCCTCTGCCTCAGCCTCCCTCAGAGCTGGGATCCAGGCGTGTGCCACTGCACCCAGCTACGGTGTCTGTTTTCACCCCTGCAGCAGCACTACTGCACAGGCAAGGTTAACCCCACAGGCCATGAGCGAAATTCAGTGCTCAGTGATATGCCAGGCCATGCCTACTTCCTTAAAAAAAAAAAAAATCCTCCTCTCTCGAGGCCCAAAGCACAGCAAGAACTGGCTGCAGGATCCCACCAGGCCTCTGCCCTGCGCTGGTGCTGAGATGACATCTGCTGTGGGCTGCAATACTTTACCTTTCTCCAACAAGTAGTATCTCTAGTGTGGCCTGGCACCAACCTATGTGAGGAGCCTGCTCCCAAGCCCCATGACACTCACTGCATGCTGGGGTCTTTGTCCTGCGTGTGGCATGTGGATGAACAATTTTCTGCTTGCACCACAGCCAAGTCTGCACAGGCAGGGATCGTCCCTGGCTGTCCTGAAGTGGGCTGTGGCACGTCACAGTGATGAGGTGAGCAGCCTGGGTCCTCATGGCCCTGGTGTGAGCATTTCCACCTCCTTGGGAGGAAACACTGCTCTCCAACTTGCATCTTGCCTGCCATCTCATTCCCCAAAGGCCGAGAGACTACAGCAGTTTAGCACTGCAGGGCCTCACAGACTGGACACCACATTGCCTTTGATGGAGCTTTCATTGTTGTGATGCTGCAGATTGAACGCAGGGCCTTGAACTGAGCTACACCCCCAGCACTGCTTTATTCTGAGACAGGGTTTTGCTAAGTTGCCCAGGCTGGCCTTGAACTTACAACTCTCCTCCTTGGCCTCCTGAGTAACTGGGATCACAGGCCTCTCCACCATGCCTGGCTCTCTGAGGCAGATGATGAGCAGATGACAGGGTTAACCAATGGCACAAGGCACCAGCCACTTGGGAGCCTTAGGGGTTGAGGCCAGTGCTGTGGAAACGGAAGTGCGAGGAGGCAACTGGCTGAGCTGCAGGACCTGAGGGGGGCCTCTACTCTCTGTTCTTTTCATATTACAGCAAGTTCATAAAGCCTCTGAGGGAAGTTTTTGTTTTCTTTTGTGTCCCCCAAAGCCCCTTCTAGAATAACATAGCAATAGTGTTTGGGGTGGTAGACTAACGAGGAAGTTCGGAGGTGACTGGCCCAGGTGGGCCCAAGGGACGGAAGACCAGCTTCCCTCTGCTCCCAGTGTGCCCCAGCTCAGGGCTGCTCCGAGATGCCTGCTGTGGGGTAGTGACTGTCCCAAGACAAGGAGCTAGATAGGCTGCAAGAATCACACATGGCAGGCCTTTCCCAGCACACCAGTTAACAAGCTGGCGTGTGGCTGGCCAGCAGGGACATAGGCTCTTGCGGTCCATGAGTCTGAGTCCCATGCTTCAGCTCCATCTTGGCCACCATGGCTCGGTGCACCTCGTCAGGGCCGTCGGCAAAGCGCAATGCCCGGGCCCAGGCCCAGAACTGTGCCAAGGGGTAGTCGCTGCTCAAGCCCGCTGCTCCAAAGGCCTGTTGGACACCAAGTGGGAAGGGAGGAAAATGAATTCAAGGCATGCTCCTGCCTCAGCCTCCCAAGGGCTGGGATTACACGCCTGCATCACCCATCCCAGGTTACAGGGTTGTTCTAAAGAAGATAAGGAAAATCGCGGGTGCAGAGCGTGGGCAGGAAGGGCAGCTGTCAGGGCTGCACAGACGTCTGCTGCCAGCGGTGTGGACACACTGCTCACCTGAGCCAGGCTCACCTGTATAGCACGGTCAATCACCCGGTAGGCCATGGATGGGGCTACCATTTTAATCATGGCGATATCCAAAGCTGCAGCCTGCAGGGAGGAGGAGATGAGGTTATCAAGAGCCAAGGGCTGACAGCTTGGTAGAACAATCAGTTCCCAAAATACAAGGATTCAAAAGTCAACCCCCACATGCCACCCCCAAACCCCATTCCCTGTCCTGCTGGGTCAGTGGTGGTCAGCACAAGCACAATACTGCTACCAAGAAGGGTGACTCTGTGTAGACGGGGTGTGGCTTGTGCCTTGCTCCAAGCCACATCCAGCTCCATTTGAACTGGCTCACTGAGCCAGCCGGTGAAGGGGTAGAGGCGGTCCAGACAGAGCTGCACAGGTGGGATCATTGTGGGCCTCAGTGCCATGCCAGGCACTGAGAAGGAACCTAACTAGATTATGTCATCCTCCAAAATAAGCCCCTGTTCGCTGATGTTGTGTTTGGGTTAGGGCAGGAGCGGGTCCCGGACTCCCGCACCAACATGCCCTAGGAATCCAGGAAGTTCAGGCCTCTTCGGGTTTCAGATGGCTGCCCAAATAGCTCCAAGCAGAACCAAAGTAATTAGTTAACCAAGCAGCGGCATGGAGTGGGAGTAGATTCTCCCACTGTGACCTGTGACCTCTGTCATCCAGTGGCCCTGGGCCTCCTACCTTGTTTCCTGCCACATCCATGAGGTGAGCGGCCTTCAGCACCAGTAGCCGCGCCTGCTCAATCTCCACGCGTGACTGGGCTATGTCAGCCAGGATTGTGCCCTGCTCCACCAGGGGCTTCCCAAAGGCCACACGGGACTTCACCTGGGGGCCCGAGAGACACAAAGCTGTGGCTGTGCTGGGCTAAAAGTGGTCTAGAGAGCCTCAGGGGCTCATGGCCTGTACAGGTGCATGGGAACCTGGGCAGGAGAGGAGTGGGAAGGCGGGGCAGGCTGTTTCTCAGCCATTCACCAGCTCTCCTGCCCAGGCACTTTCCAAGGAGAAAATCAAGGAGCAGGCGACATTCACAGGGACCGTGTCAGGCCAGGTCTCGTGGCAGCCTCGCTCTTCCAGAACCCCTTGCTGCCAGCAGCAAGGTGGCAGCCTCTGCGAAGCAGGAGCTGTGCTTTCAGAACACAGCCAGCCTCAGACCAAAAGTTATTCCTGGGAAGCCTCTGTGGGGAACATCCCCTGACTGGGGGAGAGTACCCTCTGCTGGTCACAGCCAGCCTCACATCCCTGAGCCAGGCCCACTGTTTGTAAGGAGGTATTGTATGTATTTATTTTTTGTTTTGTTTTCTTGACAGGGTCTTTCTATATAGTTCAGGCTGGCCTTGAATTCACTTCATAGCCCAGGCTGGCCTCAAACTCAAGGGCATCCTCCTGCCTCAGCCTCCTGAGTTCTGGGATCGAAGACCTGTACCACCAAACTTGGCTTGAGGATTGGGTCAAGTGGGCTGACCTCTCTATGTTAAACAACAGGATTCCACCCATCTTTTGGGGATTTTTCTTGGATTTTAGTCACTTTCTGAGCCCTTTTATAAGCTACTTCTGAACTACAGAGACTGGTAGGGGACATTTTATTCTAGTAGCAAATATTTGGTAGAACCCTAAAGACTTTGCTATACCCAGTCCTGAGTGGAATTGTATGCTCTGAAGGCTCTTGACACATATAGCGAAACTGCTTTGCCATAAGACAGGCATAGCCGATAGTCACAAGTCTATAATCCCAGCACTCAGGAGGCTGAGGGAGGAGGAACAACAGAATGAAATCAACAAAAAAATCCAACAGTAGCTGAGCTGGGTGCACACCCATAATCCCAGCACTTGGAAGGCTGAGGCAGGAGGGTCAGCGAGTGAGGCCAGCCTGGGCTACACAGTGAGCTCAAGGACAGCCTAAACTACATAATGAGATTCTGCTGCTCCCCTCAGTAAATAAATAAACAAACAACAACAAAACCCAAAAACAATTTTAAAAAAATTTAAAACAATACAAATTGGCCTGCAGGTGGCTAGTCTGAGTGTTAATGCCATATGTGGCTGAATTACCATAACTAAGCCCATAGAGAGAGCACTTCATCTTCAAAGAAAAAAGAACTGGTTTGTTTCAGCCAAAAAATGTGTAAATCACAGAAAGTTTGCCAGGATTCAAAAAATATGGCCTTGGTTCTTTGTTGAGTGTTTCTCATGAGGTTTTTGATTTTGTATCAAGGATTCACTCCATTGTGAATTCCTGTCTCTATGTATGGCTCTCTTTTACACAGGCTTCCAGCCTCTGAGGAGCTCACAGTAGACTTCATTTTCTGGACATGTGGGAGAGGTCAGTGTAGAAAACCCTATGCTGGAATCTCAGGGAGAAAAACAGGCAACATGGTTCTCTCCGGCATCTGATTGCTAGCACCACGCCAGACACCCACCAAGCTCTCAGCAGCCAGGGCCACACTCGGCCTTTGAGCCTCACCCCGGCTGCCAGGGAGCCTGGCCTCTCACTGCTGGTCACCTCAACAGCCCTTTCTGTTCTCGGTGTCAAGCAGCAGCGAAGTAGCAGAAGCAAAGCAAATGTGGATGCGCAGCTTCTCGGCTTCGCCATTCAGCCTGCTCTCAGGGAAGACTTAGATTTGAAGTCTGCCAGCATGGCTGAGGCGGCGGGTCAGGGTGGGCACGAGGGGGCACTCACGCGGGCCTTCATGAGTGCCAGGGCCCTCTCTGAGAACCCAATGAGCCGCATGCAGTGATGGATCCGGCCGGGCCCCAGCCTGCCCTGGGCAATCTCAAAGCCTCGGCCAGGCCCCAGAATCATGTTCTCCTTGGGCACACGCACATTCTCAAATCGGATTTCACCGTGGCCACCTGTGTGAAAAGCAAACACAGCACCTTGATGCCTGTCACTCCTGTCTTCCCTGGATGCGTTCCTTCCTGCCCTCAGTTCTGATTACCTGCTGGCAATATTCTCGCCCCTTCCTTAGCCTTCTGAGTCATAGCTAAAGGAGTAGGAAGGAGTGTATAAAATAAAGACGGGAGAGGAGCCACAGATGTACAATGGCAAGTGAGTATTTTGCCATTTATTTTCTGCAAACACAACAAAGCAACCTGAAGCTGAAACTCCCTTGCCTACAACTCTAATAATATAGGAAAGCTCTCGAAGTACTAAAAGTGAAAATCTGAGCATTGTTACTCAGGAGACCCTCCCCCTGCTCGAAGGCTTTCCCCTAGGACCCCACCCACCCTCAGTGGGACCCGCCCCAGGAGGGCTAACCTGGAGGATCCTCCAGCCCATACACAGACAGAGGCCTGATGATTTTTATCCCTGGGGTATCCATGGGAACCAAGATCATGGACTGCTGCTTGTGTCTTGGAGCCTGGGGGTCTGTTTTCCCCATAAACACGCAGAGCTGGCAGCGAGGATCCATGACACCTGCCAGAAAAGAAGAGAGAGTGGTCATATCAGCCAACATCAGGGCCAGCAGGTCTCCATGTGAGGAAAGGCTGGGGCAGCAGACGGAGCTCTGTGGGATGTGACAGCATCAGATGGGCATTTGTGGGCTCCAGACCAAAAATAAACTAAGTTTTGTCCTCATGAGGCACAAATCTAGCATCATAAGAACAAATTTTCAAGAAGTACCACTTTAGAGTTAAATATAGAGAAAAGACACAAAACTGCTACTTCATCTGGGCTAGCCTACCCTGCTTTGTCCTCCAGCTGGTGTAAAAAATGACTCAGCACTGGCCCTAGAGTCAAAACAATCAAACTCCGGGTTCCCTACTTGTCAGCTGGGGGCTAGAACCATGTGTGTGACTTCAGTCACCCTCTGAACCTTGGCTTCCACCCCGGTGAAATGGTAAAGATAGCCCTCTCTTCTGGGGAAGTGGGGGGGCTCAGGAGTGGGGCCCACATGGTGCTTATGGGTTGTCTCTAACCCTTGGGAGGGAACACACCTGCCCTAGGGGTCAGGGGAAGCCATGGAAGGAGTGACCGTCTGCTCTTTCAAGGGAGCTGTTGTGGGGAGAATGGAGAGCAGTGGGACTGAAGAGATTCTCAGAGCCACATGTAGGAAGAGAAGGCCACAGCTGAGGTGGTCTGGTGACACCGCACCCCACAGGAGGAGCTGAGAACAGCGTGCCCCAGGCAGCAAACTTGCCTTAGTGTCTGCTGCCTCCCCTGGGAGCATGGTGACAGAATCTCCATGGTGTCAACTGAGGAACAAGACGCTGTCCCCTTTCTACTATCAAGAGACCTGCTTATCATACAGACTAAAGGATGTGTACTTGAAAAGCACAGTTCGGGCCAAATACCTGAGATCCACCACTTGTGACCATTTATGACGTAGAAACCATCCTCCTCTCTGATGGAAGCCTCGATATTGGTGGCATCAGATGATGCGACCTGTATGGGGGCACATTCCTGTGAGAGCTGCCAGTGACCCTGGGTCCCCGCAGGCAAGGATGGCCCAGGCCAGGCACCTTGGGCTCCGTCATCGCGAAACAGGAGCGGGCCTTGCCTTCCAGCAAAGGGGTCAGCCAGCGGGCCTTCTGCTCTCTGGTGCCGTACCGCACCAGGACCTCCATGTTTCCTGTGTCAGGGGCCGAGCAATTGAATATCTGAAAGACCGAAAAAGCACTTGGTGATGCCCGGGCCCACACTGAGATTGTCAGCTTCATGTCACAGATCCATGTCACAACTCAAGGGGTCCTTTTTGAGTTTGGAAACAGAGCCACAGACCCTGAGGCTCAGTGGCACACCCCGTCTGAAAGGAAGGACACTGGACTTAGCCTGAAGCTCTCATGGCTGCCCCGGTCCTGGGTGCCCCCGCCCAGAGGTCTTCTCTTGCTTCAGCTCCGGCCAGCAGCCTGCACTTGTTCTCCCTTGCGATAACAAGTTCAAGTTCATGCTGGTTCCCCAGATCAGACAGTGTGCGCAGGAGGCCACGGGGAGACGTTCCCACGCAAGGCCGGGATGTTGGCATGCTTAGGAGGCCTTGGAGACATACCTCGGGCGCGTACAGCGACGTGCCCATGACCTCGCACAGGTGGGCGTACTCCGCGTTAGTCAGCCCCGCTCCATACTTCTTCTCAGGGTCGGTCTCCAAGGGCAGGAAGAGGTTCCACAGTCCTTCAGCCTTGGCTTTCTCCTGTCAGGAGAAAAGCATGGTTGGGAAACCCAGGACTGGCTGAGTTCTTTTGACCCAGGGAACACAATGAAAGGAACTGGAGGGGGCAGGGGGCAGTCAAAGATACAGCATGTGCGAAAAGCAAGGCCACTAGTGGGACAGGAGCCTGGCACATGTGGGTGGCATAAGACTCGAGATCCTCTCTAGACTTGCTTCTTTTTCTTCTTTTTGAGACAGGGTCTCCCTGTGCAGTTTGGGCTGGCCTTGTGTTCACTTTTGTAGTGTCCAGGCTGGTCTCAAACTTGCAGAGATCCTCCTGGCTCAACCTCCCGAGTGCTGGCTGGGATTACAGGTGTGCATCACCATGCCTGGTTCCGGGCTGCACAGTGGGTGCCCCCGTCTGGGGGCCAGACAGCAAGGCATGTGGGGCGGGGGACCGAACTCAGGTCCTTGTGCTTGCCAGGTAGGTCCTTAGGCCTCTGAGCTATCTCTCCAGCCCCTGGACTTGTTTCTTACATTATGTGTGAAACAAAGATTGACCCACCCTCCCATCAGTTGTGAGCTGCAGCCACAGAAAAGGATGGCAAGGGAAGGGAAAAGGGCTGTGTGGGGAGCTTAGCAGGGGCTAAGGAGGGAGGGAGGGAGACTCAGAAGTGGATGGGAGCTGGACAGGATGCTTGGCAGCCCTGCTGGGACCCGCTGCGGTGCAGAGTGAGCACTGGAAGACATTGCTCCTCCTTCCAACTCCAGGACTGGCCTAGCTTGGCTCCTGTGCCACCTGTTGGTCAGGCAGGGCCAGGCCGGCACCTCAACCAACAGTTCAGCCACAATATCCCAAAGGGTAGGAGAAATGCCCCTAAGTAAAACCAGGATGCTGCCACCAAGAGAAGGGGTCAGCAAGGTACAGGCAGTCCCAATCCACCCGTGTCCACGACACACACCTCACCAGGTTGTTGGGAACACTGGGCAGAACACAGAACCTAAAGCGCATGACACAGAAGTCAGAGGCTGCAGTAAATAGTACAGATGAAGGGAATGACCTGGCTGCTTATCCCTGGGGGTGACACCAGCTGGCCTGCCCTGTGCTTCAGAAGCAGTAGCTGGCTCTGCTCACTATTTACACTGAGCTAATCCACATAAAGCTTGACTGAGGATAAAAGGGCAGATTTACTGGAACAAATAAAGATAAAGAAGTGTGGGAAGGGGGAGGGAGAAGTGAGAATTCTAAGGAGGCAGCAAGAGGAAGTGGGTTAGTCATCTGTTTGTGGGAGGGGAGAAGAACAAAACCTCCCAAATTTGAGCTGATTTTTTTCTTTGCAATAGGGTTAAACTGAGTCAGATCGACTGTGAACTCACTACGTAGCCTATGCTGGCCAGCCTTGAACTTGCAGAGATCCTCCTGCCTCAGCCCCCTGAGTGCTGGGATTTTAGGCACAAGCCACCACACCTGGCTGGAGAGCTGAATTTAAACCCAGGTGCTATTAATTCTAGCTGTATACCTTGCACGAGTCCTTTTCTATACCTTTAAATTGAAGAGAATAATGCTTCCCTCACAGCATTTCTGAAAAGCATTTAGAAAAAATGCTTGGATAAAATGGATAAAAGTGATGAGTTATGATCATCATTCTATCCAAAACTCTTAGGTACCATTGATATAGGGAGAAAAACTGGTCTTGGATGGGTGACCTCCAAACAATACAGGGAACCTCCAAGTGACATAGGGAAAACTGATCTCCCAACCTGACCTGCACGAGTTTGTGTTCTCTAAAACTGAAAAATGAATTTTAGGAACAAACGCAGGTTATGAGCAGAATGTATTTATTGAGGGAAAGAAAGCTCCTGTCCCAGAGAGGGGCAGGAGGGAGGCCCGAGCGGATAGTTCCCGGGAAGCTGTCTCTTCCAGGGACTTGTATAGTGTAAAACCATTCAGGGCTAAGGTAGAGAGAATGAGAACTTGCTTCAGTGGCCAGGAGGTAAGACAAAACTTTGATCAACCAATGGGATTCCAAGTACCATTGCTCAGGTAAAATTGATTAAGCGCAGGACCAAATGGGGAAAGGAGTCACATCATGAAGGGACATGGATGTAGAACAGCACTTTATCAGGTAGCCATCTAGTAGTAGTCAGATTAATGATTCTTGGGTCTCCCTCAGGGTGATGATCATTCTCGGATGCCAATCTTTAAGGAGGTCCGCATTTGTTTGATCTCTGGTCTTTAGGTCTGGCCCAGGCGGGAGCATCCATCCCTCCCAGAGTTGCAAGATATCTTGTCTTCTGTGGTATCTCCTTCGAGAGCCTAGGCCTGTCTGACTGCCTGTAATATTTCTATCTAACTCAGCTGCCTGCAACACCATTATGCCTCCCTTGAGGTCTGACTATGGGGAGAAAGTATAAGGATCCGTTGGACTCTGTAATCTGTTGTACTAGGGGAGAAATGGCAGCAGGAATGAGAAAAAGACAAGAGCTGGTTTAGGCGGTGGCCCATCTGCCTGGTTGGTGAAATAACCTCCAGAGCAACAGCATGGATGTTTATTAATACCTCTGTAAAGTTAGTAACATGTGATACAAATGACTAATAACTGACATTAACCAGTCAGGATGCTTCTCTTAGGACTGAGGTAGCTTGACTGACTGCTTTCACACATCTGACCAATTTTCCAGTTCTGTGGCTCCCAGGAATGGCACACCAAAGCCTAGCTTCTGGAGTGTGAAGGTGCTACCACCTGAGTACAGTCCCTGCCTTCAGCAACTGTCAGGCTGTCAGACGGGGCGGGGGTGGGGGCACTGCGCAGCATGGGGAGGGCCTTTCACCTGTAAGTGGCAGGGGTGTGACTTGGGAAGTACCTCTCAGATGATTTTTTTGCTAAGCTGTATTAAGTCTGTGAATGGTCTTGCTAGGATTTAGTTGTGTAATGTACCTCAAAGACCCATGTATTAAACGCTTCTCACTTGTTTGAACTCTTGGGATGTGAAGGAAACTTCAAGGGGGGCCTAGTGGAAGGCCGCGAGGTCACTGGGAGACCCCCCCCCTATTTATTTCTCTTTCACTTCCTGGCCACAAAATGAGCAGTTTGCTGTACTGCACACACCCACCACCAATGGTGCCAAAGCAACAGGGCCAGCAGACTGAAACCTCTTAAATTCCTCAAAAAACAAAACAAAAACAAAAAAAACCTTCTTTCCTTTAGGTTGTTTCAGGCATTTTGTTGTAGTGATGGATGACTAGCAAAGTCTCATTCATGAACTTTTTTTTTTGTATTTTTGGGAAGGGTCTACAGGGTGTTCAGGATCTCACTACTAGACTGGACTTGTAGTGATCTGCCTGTTTACAGCCTCCCAAGAGCTGGGATTACAGGCGTGTGCCACCACGCCCAGTCTCAATCCCCATCTCAGTGCACCTTGGCAGGGCGGCACAGCAGGCCTGGGGATCAAACCCCAGGGCCCTGTGCCTGTTTACAGGCGCTTTAATCCACTGAGCTATTTGTCCGGCCCTTCATGAACCACTTTTGTTACTTGAAAGAATTTATCTTGTAAGACAGCTGTTGTCTTACTTTTCTCTATCATTGCTGGGACAAAAATACCTGACACCCTGCGGAAGGAAAGCTTTATTTAGCTCAGTTTGTGGAGGTTTTGGTCTGCACTCGACTGGCTCCAAAGCAGAGGGGCACACAGCAGAAGGCAACAGTTCATGGCAATGGTAAACAGTAAAACAGCCAAAGCAAAAGGTAGCAGAGGCGGAGGAGCAGAGGCGGAGGAGCAGAGGCGGAGGAGCAGAGGCGGAGCAGCAGAGGCGGAGCAGCAGAGGCGGAGCAGCAGAGGCGGAGCAGCAGAGGCGGAGCAGCAGAGGCGGAGCAGCAGAGGCGG